TGCGTTCAAGAGAAACCGCGCTGTGCGAGCGCAAGAAGTTCGATGGCGTGTCGCAGAGTGACAGTCGCATGATCCGGCGTACCGAATATAGCCGAGCGCGACACAAAACGTCACGTCGTCGTTGCGCGCGGCAGTGGGGAGGATCGCCGTCGTTGCCACCGCCGCCGCTGCTGCTGCTGCCGCCGCCGCCGCCACCTCCGCCACCGCCACCGCCACCGCCACCGCCGCCGCCGCCGCCGCCGTCGTCGTCGTCGATTTCGACCAATCGCGCTCGCGCTCGCATCGACACCCCGCTACGTCGCCGCGTTATCCGTGTCGGCCGCACGGTTCTTTCGCCTACCCGCCCATGTAAACGCGGCGGTAGTGGGGAGGGTAACCCCGGGGCGAGGGAGACAGGAGAGCGCGAGCGGAGGGGAAACACGGCGGGGAAGTCGCTAATATCTGGGGCTCCGGCGGCCGCGCAACTCGCGCCCTAATCGAACTCTACGAGTCGCGTACACTCCATCCCCACCGTCTCCCTCTTCTCTTCCTCCCCTCACGCTCTTTCGCTCCTTGCTCATCCTCCCTTTCCTCTTCCTCCTGCTGCTGCTCCTCCACCTCCTTCTCCGGCTTCTTCTCCTTCTCCTCCATCACTTCCTTGGCCTCCTGATCCCCTCGCACGCCACGCGAGGGGCCACCCTTTCGCTCACTCTCGCTCGCTCTTTTCGTCGGGAAAGTACTTGAACGAGTACCAAGACCAGAGTCGTAGACAGAGACCAAGTAGTACTTCGCAAGACGGAAAATTCGCCTTTCGATCTATTCTCATACTCGCGTCCCGAGACGTCGCGATCGAAGTTACTCTGATCATCGCCATCACAGATGATCAATGTCCTCGCGATTGACGACGCTCTCACGCACACATACACGCATGCAGTATTAAATTTCGACAAAATTTGACCAGTATCGAATACATTGAGCCGCGTATACATCAAGCTCCTGCGACAGGAGAATAGAATTAATTCAAATCGTACGTGAAATCTCTACGACAATCATTCCTGTCACGGCGGGGATTATGCAATCACCAGCAAAAACTTGTTTGCTACGTTCCGGATACTTAAAGCTTTTCTTTCCACACACATTTGTTTGAATCCCGAGAAGAAGGCGCGCCGAACGCGATGTACTTATCTCTCTCTCTCTCTCTTTAAGGATGAAATCGAATTAATTTTAATCGTGTATGCGAAAACTCACCCCAGAATCAATTCCTTGAGTATTTGGTGTTGTAGCTCGCTGTTGCAGATTGTGGAAAGCCTGAAAAGAGACGCAATGCCGTTAATAGTCTATTCTGACTTACAGAAATATACCGTAAACGCATACATCTTAAAGCCATATTCTATCATGCCCTTTTCAACTTTGAAATATTCATGGAAATATTGATAGATTCTATCACGTGTGTACATATTTTTGTAAAACTTTCAAATATTTCAAATAAGTCATTTACAAGGCACAACATTTTACGTTATAAATTTGCAAAGTAAAAAACAAAAATAAAAAAATCCGAATTGTGTATTGCTCGAATTATTCCCTCAACTACATATCCATTAATTTATATATCTATTCTTTCATAAACAATTCGTATATATTGTACATTACAATCTATACTCTTGATCAATGTTTTCAATCTTTTAAAAAATATTGTTTTATGTCAATTATATTATTAGTATGTCAAGTTTATTTGCAAAAAGCCACTAATGTCAAGATCTATATTTTACTTTCTGCTTCCATAAAAAAAATACATTTTCTCAAAAATTTAAAAATTACTCTAAAATTTCTCTTTTGCGTTAAATTATATCACATATAATTATATATGTGATAGATTTTATTCTAGTACTATCAATATACTTGTTTTAGAAAAATAATTGTATAGATTAATAAAGATAACTGAAATTCTGATACATTTCAGTGACATTAGAGACTACCAACCATTTACATTTGCAGTAAATTATACATATTTTAGCAATGTTCACCTGGGACTGACTGGTAGCCTGTGGTTGCGGTGATGCAGCAGGTGGTGGTGCTGGGGACTGAGACAAAGCACGCTGCGGTGACTGACCCGATGGAGTGACCTGATTACTTGGTGGCGGAGGCGGATTTGGTGGACCGCCTTGATTCCACCCCCTTTGTTCCGTATATAAGCTTGAGGGATGACTGGTTTGCGTCGTATAAGAGTTTAGCTAAAAAGACAAAAGGAAACATGTCAGAAATATAGAAATATTGGCATGGTTGGCTGTATTTTTCGATATTAATATACAAGTAATAATAGATTAAAAACACTGCTCGAATACAAGTCCGTTTACCTGATGATGACTGTAAGGTGCGTGAGGTCTCGTAGGAGAGGAATATCGTTGGGTATATTGTTGATATTGCATGGGTGTTGGAGAATTCTGTGCTCCTGGCCCTGTATGTAATCTCGGCGAACCCTGATAGTTTGGACAACATACGACAATTAGAATCGCACTAAGAATTACAATCTTTTGGCTAGACAAAAAATTTGCGAACGATACTAGAAGTACGGAAAGTACTCGTAACAAGAGAGGGTACAATAATTGTAACGCTAGACTCATTCGGCTTAACCTAAGTGAAAAAATGATGTCGTGCAAATATGTAGATCAGTTTGTTTACCGTCTGCGGAGGACGCTGGCTGGGTTGCGGATAAACGGGAGGCACAACCGGTGGCCTTTGCATAGGCCATGGCTGCTGATACTCGGGTCCCATCCCAGGATAATTGCCGTGAAACCGATGCACCGGAGTGGACGCCTGCAGCAACTGATTCAACGTAGGCGTAGGACCGGCGGTCTGGGACATACCCTGTCCGGTGAGAAACCTCGGCTGGCCGGAGAAGTTGCCGGAGCTGGCGCCGACGTAGAGCCGCGACTCGATCTTGGAGGCGGAGTAGTGCTCCTCCATCTCGGCCCGGTGGGTCCGGTCGGTCTCGTGCATCAAGTGTTTACCATGGTAGTCGAGCTGCTTGCCGGGAAAGTCCGCGTGCTTGGCAACGTATTCCGGGAGCTGCTTGCCGGGCGGGGGATAGTCGGCGAGCGACTTGGTCGCGGCGAACTCGCCGGATTTGTTGTTGCTGTACTCGTCCGCGTAGTCGCGTATCACGTTTGGCGCGAACGGATGGCCCGGGTGGCCCGGGTGGCCGGGCGCGTCGTGCTGCTCCTGCTTGCCGACGGGCTCCTGGGACGCCTGGCCGGTCTCGCGCGGCGATTTTACCTCACCGGTGGCAGTGTGTCCGCCAATGTCCTCGCGGTATTGACTCATCTCGTAGCCCGTCGTGTCCCCGCCGCGATTCACATATTTAAGCAGCTGGGCCGCGCCCCGGGACACTTTATCGTCCGGCTCGGAATCCAGCTGCTGCTTCGCACTAGCACTCGCACTATTCCCACCGACTTGCGTACGCTTCTGTGCGCATTTCACGGACTCGTTCAGCTTCACATCGTTTTGTTGGCTCTCGGCTTGCGTCGCAGCCATGTTCTCCTCTCCTCACGGAGCCATCGTCGTTTTCGTAAACTGGCCAATCGCGGGACCTCGTGCGCGCCTCGCTATGGGGCCAAGTACTACGTACTCGAAATCGAAATACCGATTAGTCGAACGGCTCGCGTCGCGGCTAACACCTCACGGCACATCCTCGATCGCCCGTGCGTGGACTAAGCGGCGCGCTACGAAAAATCACTTCCTGGCCTTTTCAAAGTGGAGGGAACCAAAAAAAACTCATATGCGAACGTCAAAAGCAGCGTCGCATGTATTACGCCATCTCGCGGCCAAGGAGCGCATCGAGGCCGCCTTCCTTCGGCCGCCGTTTCCAACGCGTCGCCCATTTCCGTTCGCCCCGAAAGCCTCGTTTTCACATCTGCCTCTATCCGCGGGGCGCGCGCCCGTTACGTTTTTAATGTTTTTACTCACCTTCACGCGCCTTCCGCGCGGATTCTTTTCCGGAGGATTCGAATCTATCTTGAAATTACGAGGCTCGCCGCGCCTACATTTACGCCTTGCCATCAAAATCGATCATTTCATTCTCTCGCATCGTACACTTGCGTTAGCCAATCACGTAGCCGACTGCAGGCTCTCGCGGAGCGTCGATAGAAGCGGCCGCTAAACTACGATGCATTAACGCTCGCGGTTATCTAGGTTCGTCGATCTATCATTCCTCTAACCGCGTTTTAATCGCGTGCTGTCTCGCTCTCTCTCTCTCTCTCTCTCTCTCTCTCTCTTTCTTCATGCCTCGTTTCCTTCCTTTCCTCTTTAAAGCCCAATCGCTACGTGAGAGACTTCGATTATTGCTTTTCCTTTTAAAGAAACACAAGTCGACGCATTTGACACAAATCGACATGCATGTCGTTTTCCAATTTTATTCAATTTCAATCGGACTCCAGCTCCTCGGGAAGAGAAGATCGGAGTGTGTTATAATTCTTGTTATTCGACTGAATAAATTATATTAGAACGCATCCCAGCAAACCGCGCAGTTTATTCTGCAGTTATACATTACGGTATATAATTAGGTTATCGAGTAGTTTTGAGAATGCTAATCTCCGTTGATTTGTTTATCCATAAAAGGAGAGCAGCCTTTATCTCACTTTAAATCGATGTAGACGCGTATATCCAGAGAACGCCATTAAACCTACGTATACGCGGTTTCCGAATCCGTGAAAATCTCGAAAATCGCGATCCTCCACTTCGAATTCAATAATGGAACATCGTGATGTTCAACGCGACGCGGCTCGCGGATCTCTAATCGCCAAACTCGCGCGACTCGATTCACCGTAATATTCAAACGATAAGGATTCGCTGCGGACGCGTTTCTCGCTCGCTGCACCTTAGAGCGGAACGGACGGTTACGCGGGATCGCAGGGAGGGAGAGAGATGCCGATAGCGGAGAGTGCAGAGGGTGCAGCCGCCGCGGGACACGGAGACCGCTTTGGATTTCGGCCGCGTGTTTACATCGCGTGAAGTTATCGCGGAGCGGTTATCGACGGGACGGACGGCCGTGATAGCGGCCATTTGCATTCGCGGTGACGGCCTGTGCTGTGTGGTGCGGTCCGAATGGAGAGTGTACCGTTTCGTTTTTGGTGCGCGTCCTAGCGTGCCCTCGACGATCCGGGCGAGATCTGTCCCCTGCCCGTACTTGATCGCCCCCGTCGTTTGCGAAGAATGGCGAGGGCGGGTAGCGACGTCTCGAGGACCGTGTGCGGGAACACGATTCAGGAGAACGAGAGGAGGCTGCGTGAGGCGCGAATTAAGAATCAGGTATGTATTGCGCCACAGGGGGGGTGGACCCCCTCCCCCCTCCCATGTGTGCGTCCCGTCCGTACCTGTTCCCTCTTCGCCGTGAATCCGTCTGCTTCTATTGTTCCGCTGTCATTTCTGTCCTATTTACATCATTCCTTGACATTCGTACATTACACTTACTAAATATCACTGTTTCCATATTTTATCTGTTTTCTTTTCAAGACCAAGAGCCGAATTAGGCATGACCTGAGCAAACTGTTTGGCAAGCTCAACCAAGCCGTGGAAGCGAGCTCGCTGAAATCTTCGGACAAGTCGAGCTTGTCGTACAACCAGAGCGTAAGTTTTTTCTCACCAATCTGAGCGGGCCCATTCGATGGCCCACGTCGTCTAGTATAATGTAAAATTTTCTCACTCACGGTACGCTGGAAAATTTCTAGGCACCGGCTAGATGTGAGCGTGCCACCGGGATGTGGGCCAACGAGACCCTCCCACTGATCTTTGCGTCGCGATTGATAATACACAAGATATACAGCAATATATGGTTTCGTGTGTTTCCCTAGGTCACCAGATGCTGGTATGGCCCAATCGCGGGATTTCCGCCTGGCTCCTGGTGGGGCATACGCATGGACTGTTCCAGGGATAAGATGCACGAGCCCTTTGACGTTGACGTACACGAGGGACCGTTCGGCGTTATCTCCGTATGCACCTCGCATGCCAACATGAACGAGGATGTGGATCTCGGTGATTACCTGACGCTCACGGGCCAGGTGTATCACGAGAAGCAGCCCAGCGCAGATCCGTTCATTCGCAACTACAAAAATCAGATACCATTGAGATTAATAAGGAGTTACAATCTGCAAAACAGTATCGCGCCCAACACCGGGTACAGGTACGACGGGCTCTACGTGGTCATAGGCTGCTGGATCGGCATGGCCTCGGACGGAACCAGGTACAACAAGTTCGCGTTGACGCGCCTCGCGAGTCAGGAGTCGCTCAACAGGCGTGGCAAAGGCACGGAGGAACTGTCCTCCGTGCGACGTTACATCCCATCGTCGGACCATCCGAACACGTATGACTTGAGAAAGTGCTCGAATAACATCAGCGCTACTACCTGCCGGAAGCGAAAGCTCAGCTACGGAGACGAGAGTCTGCCAATCGCGAAAACGATACCGTCGATCGACATCAGCAGACGGTCCGCACCCGAGAGTTCCATCGTCACGCGTCATGTCTTTAAGAAACTACCGAGTAGCGCGGAAAGCGTTACCGCAACTTCCGTACCTGATCAAAAGACGTTGCTGTGCCTTGGTGCGTCGGCTACTAAAACCCATAGTACAAACATCTCGATACGCATGGGCCTGTACGAGTCGTCGCACAGCTCGCAGGACGCGAAGAAGAGCGTCTCGACGATGTTGCAGAAGCCTTCCAAGCTCGATATCGCTATTCGCACGGCGTTGGACATGGAGGGTAGTCGCTTGACACCCAAGGAGGACAGTTGTAAGCCTGTCGAGAAGACGGATGTGGATATGGTGCGAGTTAATTCTCGGCCGAGCGAAAATGTATCCTACAACGGGCATGTCATGGCCAACAGCGTGACCGCTTCTCCGTTGGATAAACGTAGAGAGAATCTGCCGTCGGCCGCCGTGTACTCGTCAGAACATTCGTATTGCATATCCTCGTCGCTGAATAGCCTCAAGAATAGTGCAAGCACTACGATCGAGCGTAAGGAACAACTTCAAAATGCTCAACAGTATCAAGATGTACGAAACTTAAATACCGATAACGAATCGTTGCAGAAGTCGAATTCCAGCAATGAACCATCGACGAATTCGTTCGCGACGCACGAAAGAATCTTTGAATGCCATGACGTTCTGGAGACACCGAACGAATCGCTCTGCGCGCAAGGCATCAAATCCTTGGACTCTCTGACACCGGACAAGATCTTGAACTTGATCAACAAGGAGATACATCATCCTCTGTCCAAGTTACTTATCGGAAATGTGATAGGGCTGACGAGCGAGGAATGCGCGATGTGGAACGCGTCGAAGAGGGAAACGACGCCGGAGACCAAGAGCAAGAGGCACGCGTCGACGAGGACGAATCTTAGGAAGAGGCACAAAGGAGCGGACAACATAAAGGAGAACGTCGCCTGTTTGGACACGCACAACAGAAGGTACTACAAATACTCCAAATCCGAACGATTATTTTGGAAGGTAACGAAGCAAGCGGATGGAGCGGAAAAATTCGACAAATTGCTACCCGGCGTGGATCGCCAATCCTGTCCTAACGACGCGGACCAAAAACGTAATGACAACGTTAGAAGAAGCGATCGGGGTAGCGTGTCCAAGAAGAACACCGAGTACTTATCGCCGTTTCGCGTACAGGGTTCGCTTCAGACTATCGCGCAACACACGCGCAGCTCGTACGACATAAAGACCCGTCTGAGAACTGACAAGGCAGCGGTACTGGCGAAGCCGGAGTTTCCTAACTCGTCGATCAAGAAGAGCAAGTACAAGAAGCGAGATAGGGAAATCGCCAACTTGTCGATAGACGCCAATTTCGGTCCCGCGACGCGCGGACCCAGGAATCGGAGATTACGATGCAGAAACAACGCGTATACGAAATGCTGCGGTACCTTCAATACCGTAATATGTTCTCCCAACAAGCGACACAAGTCCAGCTTCGAACGGAAGAGCAAACTGAGCAAGGTCAACCGTCAACGTGCCGGAGAGAGACAGACCAAGGACAAGTACAGGATGACCAGTACGGTCCACGCAAACGGCAAGAATGTTAACAGTTCGATTGGCAAGCAAAAAAATCTCAAAGGTAGTATTAATAATAATAATAATAATGAAAATCGCAGCAATCACAACAATAACCACGCCGCAAGCAGCAAGAGGAAGGAGAGAGAAAAAATTGTAACCGTTGATCACAATGTCGCCAAGACTTCCTTCGACAGGAGCCTTCGGAAGAAGCTGACAATCCCTTTGTCGCATCATGCCGTTCAAACGCCGCGTTTACAATGCTTTCGCAAAAAACAGACCGAGAAGCCCAGCACGATGGACGCGACGACGCAGTGCAGACTTATCTCCGATAATCCGGAAGTTTACGTTATCGGACAACTGAACGATCAGAGAGCTGTCTTGAAGATGGAGTGGGATAAACTGGAGAAGCTGAGGGAGGCCACGTTGGACGTGTCCGATCAGGGGAGCCAGACTTGTCGGACGTCGCGCCTCTGCGCCGCTTCCACGCTCACGGAGGATAACGCGAGTCGCAAAAGCGACGAGGAGTACGCGGACTCTCTGCAGGATAGAGCGTCGGCCTTCGTGCCGGTGAACGCGTTCGACAGCGATCTGCGGATCGCGCGGCTCAGATCGATCGGTTTCAAGCCCATAATCAAGCCACGATCACCGCTGGCCGCCCATGACCTGGAGATCGAGAGCGCGTTCGTGACCACGAGCAAGGTAACGAAGCGCGATGTTGCCGAGGAGTATCACAAGTACGCGAATAACGAGGATAATAATGCGGTCGTTTACATGGACGATGAATTGCAGTATCAAGAAATCGAAGAGGAAGAGGAGGAGGAGGAGGAGGAGGAAGAAGACGACGACAATGAGAAACAATTAAGTGCGAGCGCGTCGATAAAGTCAACATTAAGAGGCGTACAATCGAAAACTAGTAACATACTTCCGGAAACGTTACCCTCGCGCGAAAACCTGGAATCCCCTTGGCACGGCTGGAAGAAGATCGTCACGAATAATCGATCGTATTGGATCGGCTGGTAATCGATAGTAGATCGCAGGATCTACTTGGGATATTGGTGAATACATACAAAGGGTGCTTTTTCGCTGCTGCGATTAGAAAAATGAACCGTTTTATCCAAACGTGTACAATATTATATCTTTATTTTTTTGCCAAAAAGTAAAGGCTGTTAACATTCTAAATTATTCTTCTAACAGTAATAATACGGTATTCGAGTTGACTAATATATTTTTAAGAAAAAAAAGCATCGACAGATTATTATATAATTCGAATTTCTTATATATATATATATATATATATATATATATATATATTATACATATAAATTATTCTATATATATATGTATATTTTCTATATGTGAGGTATTATTAACAGATGTTTTAACTGTAAATAAATAATGTTCTATTCATGTAGTTGTGTCTTATCTTTATTACGAGATGTAATAGGACAATAAAATTTGTTCACAGATTTTTTTTACACGTTTTTCATTTCGTTTTTAAACGGCGCGACAAAAGATTTCGGCACAATGTGCTGTCATATAAAATAGATCTTTGTCAACTTTGCGATCGTCTCTTATGCTTTTAAAAAAAATATGAGGATTATACACAGTTGTACACATAAGACACCGAATACCAAACGTTTACATCTGACACGATCTGCTCGGGTCGATCGTCCTTTTCTCGCGCATTTAATTGTTATATATATCTTCTTTTTGTTTTTTCTTTTATATCGAAAGGCTTTTCCGCGTAAGAAGGAAAGCTCGCTTCAACTTCTCCGCATTTTTCAGATCTAATCTACTTCGGTGTGAATATATACACGGTACGAATTTTTGTTTAACAGACCAAAAAAGAGAATAGTTTTGCAGAGGGACGCAAACATTCCTGCGGTTCCCGCGTCGCTCCCAAACGAGCCGGCGAATACGCGAGATTGCGCGAGCTCAAGGTTCGCTAAACGCATAAACGCGCAAATAAAAACAGATACAAAAGTGTAAACAAGTGTCTGACACGCTTACGTACGAACGGTACTCCCAAGGAGGCGGCCGCGATACCGCGCGTGAAATTAAGTACTATACAATTACCTTTTCTTATCCGTTACCGAGTAGAAGTAAGCATTATCGTGCAGTTAATATCTCTTTGCAGTGTCGTAGTAGAGCCACGGGTGTACGGATAACACTGCCTCAAACACACGTCAGCATAGTAAAATAAATATCTTCTATACTATTTTTTTCTTTACTCGTAATGTTATAACGTAATACATATATTAACATGGATGTAACATTATGGAACTATTACAGTGAAACGCAATGCACTCTTACGCCCCGCGCGACGTCTTTTTTCCCCCCTTTCTCCCCTCCCCCCCCCCCTCCCGTTTTTTAAGATCTGCGAGAACGTTCTTACCTAATTGAATTCGCGCGAATCGCTTAAAACGTATCGCTTTTCTCTCGCATTTTTTCTCCCTCGAAAGCAGGATGTCTTGGAGGTTCATGGAAGTCTCGCGTTGTAACGTAACGTCGATACGATTTTCAAGCGTAAATCACACATTTGCCCGTATATTCCGTGTGCCTTATTGAAATTCATCGTCGCTGCTCAGTAACATCGTTTTCTCGTTATAATTTTGCGAAATCGTGGCGACGCGCTGGTGAGAGGTGTTTCGCCTTTGCGGTGGTGGCACCGGCATGTTTTGCGGATCGTCCGGATCGAAGCTGGATACTCGCATACCACGTTGTCCTTTCGGGCCCCCTAATTGTTACATCATCGTTACAAATTACAGTGTGAGGAAACACACGAGACACACATGTCCGTGTCGGCGAATAAATTGCGCCAAAAATTGGCCAATCGGTCACACACGTAAATACACGACCGTGTCCCACATACGTCCAAAATTGTGACCGAATATACGGTGGACGGCTAATCATCTCCGAAATGTCACATTTACATCTCGAACGTTCTTGCTCTCGAACTGCGTTCGCAAAATCGAGCATCGAAATCGGTGTAATTCCAACGAGCTCAGTTTCCCATACTATAAGGAATCCTCATTAAAAACCACTCTCTATGCAACATTCTTATTAAAAAAAAATTTTACACCTCGGTACGCAGATTCTCTGAACTCGTAGAATTCTGATTTCGAACTCCACACGAAAACCGAATTAATAACACGTATTGAGCTACTTGAGAGGCTTGATCAGAGCAACAAAGTTCGAATTTTTTTTACACGTGATACAAAGGTGCAAGAGAAAAAAAATTGTATATATATATATATATATATTAATGCGACATAATCGCAATACAAACGACTCATGCAGATTATTATTAATATAAGAAATAAAATAATTTCGCAAGCAGCTAGGAATGTGATAATTTTGCCACTGTAAATGTATGCTGTACCGTTGGAGGAAAGAGGACATAATGATGTGCTTTACATGCTCGGCCGTTTCATACCGTAATATATTCGCATGCTACATGGTACCATGTGATAGGAATATAAAATAAAAGCAATAAAATTAAGTTACAATGTTATAGAAAAAGAAAACACAAAAACACGATATACTAATACCTAATTATCCTTTACATTTATTATAGAGCAACACTATAGAAATACGCCACTCTCTCTCTTTTCCTCCTCCCACTTTTCTTTCTTTCTTTCTTTCTCTTTCCTAAACTTGCTCCTCTTATGTGTTAAGTGCTTAACTTCTATCTTACAGCAGAGTTTGTTAATCGCAAAATAGATGGGTCTTATATGCATAATAATACGTATATGTCGACGATATAAGTACAACCCTTATTCTGTAATTTCAGCGGAGAATTCATTTATATATCGACCCCTTGTGGACAGATACCGATCTCTAAGGCATTGTGTAATTCCGTAAGCAAAGTATAGTGCTGTATGAAGTATCATTTCTTTTCGATCTTCATTTAAAGTCGCGCGTAAAGCTCGATGTCCAATTTCTTGAAATTAAAAAAGTGACGCTCTCTCACTGTGTCATATCTTTTCGTACGGCAAGTTGGTATTAACGTCTGAAAAACAGCAAACAAAAGTGCCTTCAAAGTAATTGTCTGAATCTAGTAAACCGGCACATATTAAGGACAAAATTTATGTATAATTAGTCTTTTACACAAGTAAAATATGATAAATATTATATTAGTGGACTATTTTTTGAAAGCAAAGATTTTCTCTATACTATCCGTGATTTCGAATTGGCTTGTTTGCGTGAAATCTGCTATACGCGTATGTGAGTGGAGATGTATTAACAATAATGTTGGTGCCTCTGCATTGGTCAGCAGTGAAGTGTCAGAAAGTACAAGTGAAGTAAATTATATATACAAAAGCGCCAAAGCCTGTAACTGAAGCGTTTGCAATCTCGAATGAAACGTGTATCTTGTGTAACTATTATTGGCATTATTGACATTACATGTCAGATAATCTTGCTCTATAATTAGAACATTCAGTCTTTCATCACAGCCTTTTATTTTATAACGTGACATTTTCTTATGAATGCATGAGAAAAAAAAAGTAATTTCTATATGAGACAACACAACGTACAAAAACTTAAATAAATGAGATGAACTTTTTACATCGCATACTATATCATGCTGTATGAAAATTGGGCAATTCATAAATATATCGATATTAATAAAAATAAAGATATATATATAGATTAGTAGATAATTATATAGCAAGGCATTAAAAAAAACTAAAAAAATTACATACCTGCGCTATACTGAGTGTACTGTTGATACTGTGGATGGAAATTATGGATGGCATCGGTCATTATGTCTTTTGGATTCATCGTTTCCTACAAAATATTATTGACGAATAGTATTAAATTGACGAAACAAAAAAGAAAGAGATCATCTCTGTGAAAGGTTCAGAAATATTTTATACGCACTTTCAAACTGCTACTAATACTTTGCATCGTCACGCTTCTACCCCTGGAGTCGGTAACACAGCCAGCTGCGTATACTTGGTACGGGAACGCATAACGTAGAGCTATAGCGGCGAACAACATCTCGATACAAATGAGGAAATTTTGGTAACCGGCGGAGACTGTACCAGCGCTTGTTGATTGACCCAGACTGTTTATAACGGGCGAAATGACGTTTGCTTTCTCCAAGATAGCTAGCAGTACTCCTGCATTAAAAAAAAATTTGTTGCAGTTGTTATTTACTTATTTGTCATTGAACGCGCGCGCAATTTTTACAAATGCTTGATATCGATATTACCTTGCCAGAATGACAAGAAGATGACGCTCTTCACTGTACAAAACTTGAGCACAGGCTCGAACGGCGTCAGCAGGTCTCTCGTAGCAAAGTAGAACAGAAACAGCCCGTAGAGCGCGAGCGACACGCTGATGTTGTAAATTATCGTGATGTAAATGTAGCCACCGTCCGGTGACCAATCGCCGTCTCTGTAATGGCCGAAGGCTTGCAGAAATATGATGACGAACGCCATCACTGGTTTAACCAGGCAGAACTGTAGGGTGGCCTGCTTGCAGAATCTCAGGAAGCCGATGGTGTAGGTCTTCCCGACCAGGCAACAGGTGCCGTACAGGCAACTGGAGCGTATCGGCTTGCCCCTGATCTCGGACATGATGTTGCCCTCGCCGCCTAGGTACTCGTAGCATAGCGACAGGAAGTTATATATAACAAACGCCTCGTAACAGTCCCGCACCGTGAAGAAGTAAACGTAGTAGCTCTCGCTGTTGAAGAACAATAGCGACAACCAGGAGTAGATGCCGTAGATGGGCACGATGAACAGGATTCGCACTATCCATCTCTGTTCCGTGGGATTCGTGTACCACCTCAGATGTTGATAGATCTACAAGCACAAGTGAGGAGGGAGACGAGGTGAGACGTCAAACGCGATCTTATTGTTGTTATCCTACTTGACAGTCCTTCCATTTACCTGTTGGCAAGTGAGGAAAAGCGCTACAAATACGAACACACCGGCGATGACCTGGGCCGCGCGGGTCTGCAAGAAGATCGGCGTCCCTTCCTTGGGGAGATCCGCCAAGTCGCTGATGACGTCGGTGGTGGTCGTTGACATCTTGTCAAGTGTATTCACGTACGTGGCGGCGTGCGTCCCTGTGACCCCGACACCATTCATACGTCAACCTGCTGGTAGGCACAGACGCGCGCGAAAGCACGGGTGATTATTTTTCCGTGTCGAGGGGACGACGAGAGTCGTCGCGCGCGCGTGTGACGTGTTTCCGCGTCGTATTCCGTCACGACGTTCGACGAGCAGGAATCATCGCGCGATCGCGTAATTTCACGAGCGCGAGGACGCCCGCGATGGTGGTGACGAGGAAGAGGAAGGGGGGGAGGAGGAGGAGGAGGAGGAGGAGACGGAGAGGCGGGAGAGGAGGACGGAGGAAGAGGACAAAGGGGAAGGAGAGAAAGAAAGCGCGTGCGACTCGCGCGAACGCGCGAGACGGACACTCGCGCGTAAATCGATACACACGTACGTGCGTAAACGGAGGATCGCGATCGAGCACGAGTCACTCTCGTCGGAGCTCGCTTCTTAAACGGACAACACAGGCGCGGCTAAGAGGGAGAGAGGGAGAAAAAAAACTCCCTGCGTCAGTCGTTGCGTTATCGTAAACATAAGGCTCCGGTATCTCGCGTAACGCCAATATATGTCAATTCAGCGTAATCGAGCCGATTTGTATCGCGCGTATCGAGGTGACACGCGCAACAATCGCGTCGGGTCGCGCTGACGCAAGTCCTGCGGATTCTTTTCTCTCCCTCGCTCTTTCGCTCGCTCGCTCTCTTGCTCGTTTCAGCAACGTACCCGTGCCCCCATTCGCGAAGTCCTCTCCAGATTTTGCAGCATACGCACGCTCGGTGTATGTATGCCTCTCCCCGCGAGTCGTTCCGTTCACGTCGCCCCTCGCTGCCGCCGTCACGGCTGATGTTCACCTTTCAATCCGGAGACGACAGCCGCAGCTGCCAGCTTTCCCTGTATATATATTTATTCGATGAATCGCGCGTCTCGAACGGACTCCGCGACTCCGGATGCTCCGTCCGCGAGCTGCCTGAAGTCGGGGCCGCGATCTCGGCTAAGCGATCAGCACCACAACGGTGACGCGACGATCCGTTCCGTGACGACGCGATACACGCGCGTATGCATACACCTATACACACGTACACACGCACACTGTATATAAACGGTACTATGTGGAAAATTGACTGCCCCTCCGCCGCCCTGCGGAACTCACGCCGTTTTTAGCTTCTATACTACCGTCTCTACTAATCGCACTCGCGCACTCTCGCGCTCGACACTCTCCGTCCAACGGGCTATCGCGTCCGCCTCCCGGGGCCCCCTCCTCGGTCGCGTAGCGCGCGCTGATCAGATCGGAGGGACACCTGCACGAGAGCCAGCCAAGACGACGTCGGTGGATCGTTCTCCCTTTCGCGAGATTCTCGGCAGCGCCGATCACGCTCGATGTCGCGGCGAGAAACGCGAGAACATACGGTACGATATCGCGCGAACCTGTTTTCCCCGAACGGAACGGAGCGGAGCGGAGCCAGCCCTTCGCCTCGCCGCGCCGATCCCGCGAACGGTTTCACTCCCACCACGCGTGCGTGGTGCACCGATTATGTGTGTCCGCCACCCGCGCACCCCCGCGGCCGCCACATTCTAGAGGCTGGGAAATCGTTTCCGCACAAGGCGCCGCGGCGCCCCGTCTCACTCTCTATCTCTCTCTTTCTTGTTTGCATTTCTGCGCTGAAATTGAAACGCGGCTAGAGCTGATTGTTTGACAACGAGATCTCGAACGGAGAAATTAAAATTACACTTCAACAATTCACAATAATTAATTTTTTTTCTTCCGCGAGATCTCGGAGCGATTTCTACTATAGCTATTTCTATTTAGTATCGTGGATACAGCTATATATAGGCATAAAAGAAAAAAGAGAATTAATTAGATTTCTGTAAGGAAATAATATAACTATATAAGTTATATATAATATAATTGTTAAGTAGAAAATTATATATAATTAATTAATACAATATAGTTGCATTAAGGTGTTTACTGCATGGGATTCGATTGTTCCTGTAACTTTAAGAGGAACACAGCTGTCGGGACATTCTTCAATTATGATCACAATTATTTGATCGGATTCCGTTGACAAATAAATTATGTAAACTCAAGAAAAATAATTGCGAAAGAGAGTAATCCTTAAAATTTTCCCGCATGTATAAATTAACGACTTCATACGCATATTCTGCAAGGACGGGCTGCGGAACGTTTTGAATTGTTGTTTAAAAAAACAAGCCAATATATAGCTATATATTGACAAGTCGATATCCCGTTTCCATTTCCACGTCCTTGCCCTTGTCGCAATTGAAAAGCTTTTGACGACGCCTGCGCGCGTACAAGCTAGCGTTCGCGTCTATTCGCAACGATTTCAGGAAAAAGTTTACGCATCATCGAACGCATGACCGTGAGTGATCCTCCGTGAAAGGCATTTCTCTTTCAGCGTCCGATCTTGACGGTGGCATCATTCATGTTATTACCAGCTGCTGAAGGTCGAAACGCGAGATCGCCAGATCTTCAATCACCGTGTCGATTCAAGATGAAATAAGTTTTAACTTTTATTGTGCATTCTTTCTCTGGTTTATCCGAAGCAAAACGTATACGTAAATGTGTAGTCTTATATTTTTCATAGACGAGCGAAAAGAATGAAATAAAACAGAGCTGATCGTATTTAACTCCAGTTTTACTGGAGTTAAAAGCCTGCAGCAGGCACCCTCCCCTGTAAAATAAGGAAAACATAAAAAAGAGTGTAGAGAGTGCAGTTAGAAAGGCATGACCTCGCGCTTGACGTCACAATGTCGTCAACAAAGAAAGAGAAAGAAGTCACGTCGATAAGATCTCATCGATCGAATACACGTAACTCGCTATCTAGGCTCTTTTACCCGTTGCAGAAATTTCGTAGCAGATCCGGGAGGTTGCCGGTCGATAAGGCAGATTCCTGTCGTGGGACGGCGCGACGAACCCATCACTCGTTCCCCTCCCTCTCTGACGTTATCCTCACCCGCTGCTCCGACTGAGCGACAGCTGTAGCTTCGCTTCGCGTATACTCAGTGTTTTGTATTTCGCGAGGGTACGCCAGCCGAACGGAAATGTCAGGATCACGAGGACGGCTCTCGCGATCACCGCGTAATGTCGGTGGCAAGTGACGCACCGGCTCTTCTCGCGGCACGCTATCTCTGCAGAACGATGTCAAGCGGATAAATTATGCCACGAAAGGAGAACACGTGAGTGTCCTCGGGAATTTGTCGATTCTTTTAACCTCTCGTCATCCGGGAACTCCGTAAGCTCCGATATATAAGTTCCCCCTAAAAGCTCCTCTTGTTTCAAAAGCGCCAGTGGCCGATTGCTCCCGAAGACGCGTTTTGTATTTGCCCGCTCAACGTTCACCCCAGTCCTATCTCGACTCTTATACCTACAAAATGTTGCAGCAAAGCGAAAACATGGGAGCGAGATCGAAGAAAACGTATGAACGCGTACTTCAAGACATTGGCGGATCTACTGCCGCCGCATCAGGAAGGTCGCAAGCGCAACAAGGTCGACATCCTGATCCACGCCTCGAAGTACATAAAAGACCTCCATAATCGCACCGAGGAGCTATTCTCCACTCACGCTTCCGAGGCACACAGTACGTGTTTTTCGTACATAGTGCACATGGGAGGAGGAACATTTCATTTTTTTGTTTTTTAAATCTGTCCAAGTAGTTATGTATATACATCGTGTTGGTTTTCCAGAGGAAGAATTGGCACGTTTAAAAAAACTGGTGACACAGCTGATGTCTCGCACTCAGTTACTGTCCACTCTTCTCAAGGAGGCAGGAATTTCTGTACCGGCCGAACCGGCCCTTGAAAAAATATCTCCTTTGAAATGGTCGAACAAAATTAACGTCGACGACGTAGACAAGTATTTTGATAAGATCGAGGAAAGTAAGTGCGTTACGTGTAGATACAAATTTAAAATTAAACAGGTGATACTTTCCTAATTTCCCGGTCACTTGCAGAGAAAACTTTGGAGAAGAAGAAAAAAGAGAAATCCACGGAGAACAAAGTGCCTTCTAAGAGAAAATCTGCAGCACCGTCAGCTTCGAAAAAGTTGTCCGAGGAAGCTGCCATCGCCAAGAACGTTTGTAATTCGATAGAGAATCAGGAGAATCGAGTGAACTGTGCCAATAGCAAAAACTATAATTCCGATAGTACAAGTAGCCTGCCTGGAACTGGATCGAAGGAAGCAGAGAATTGTCAAAATGGTATGGACAAATTTAGAATTATTGCTGTTTAATTAAAAATGATGGTTCTTAAAGTCTTCGTCTTGGTTTTGACAAGCATGTTTTTTCATTTAGATTCTGCCAATGAAGCGACTGCGACAGGGACAACCAATACGAAAAAAAAGACCGGTAGATAAAACAATTATTACATTTTTTATATTAATATTAATTTTGTAGAAGTATCGTCAGTATTAATGTGAATCTCTGTTTCCAGTGGACAAGAAAGTCGAATCTCAAAAGTCATTGAAGAAGAAACGCAAACGCAAGGATGAGAAAAACTCAACGGTGGCACCTATGGCCAATACTGTCACGAATTTAACACCAAATACTCTTATTTTGTCCGGAAAACTGATGCCCCTCGTAGCTCCAATGACATCGAACATCATCGTGAATACGCAACAGGCATCGACGAATCCGATAATCCTCGGTAACACGCAACAGAGTCAGATGATCGTGATGCAACCCCTGGCGAATCGTGTCCAGAATACCGTCTCCATATGTAATCACGCTCTGATTAACACCATGCAGAAGGTCACTTTGAACACCGTGCCAAGTATTCGCGCGAATATGGTCGTCGATTCTCACAATTGGGCGTCCAACGTGAAGAATATAATTAATGCCACGAAGATCGGCGGACACAAGGGTATCCTGCCGAAAGGCAAGGAAATAACAAAGACGACTATGGCTTACAAAGTGCCTATTCCAGCGATACACAAGGAGAAAGTGGAGAAGCCTAAGGATAGCGCGAGCAAGAAGGAATCGGAAGTGAAAGCGAAGAGTAGTAAAAATCATTCCAAGAGCGTTCACAAAGGCGTTCAAAGTACGGAAACGGCCGAAGAGTTAAATGTCGAGAAGAAATCGCCGAAGGAACCTGCCAAGACGCAAGAGGACGCAACCGCCCCGCCGCGAAAAGGCGCGCTTAAACGCCGCTTGTCCGCAGAATCTGATTCCGCGGACGAGCCGGAAGACAAGAAACGGAAAGACGCAAACGGCGAAGCGAAATCTGCCCAACCAATTGCTTCGAAAGCAACAGATTTCACCGCCACGTGCAAATCTATCGTAAGCTTAAAGCATGTTATAGAGAAGATAGGGGAAAACATTCGAGATGAACCTGCGACTGTCAGCAACGAGAAGGAATCTACCGTTTCGATATCAACTGTAGCTACTCAAGCAGCGAACGATAGTCGCGAAGAAACGTCCACGACGAGCAAATTAATGGACATTGTGGACACAAATTGCTTCGATATAAACAAGAAAATAACTGAGGACGTTGTCGCATCGCAGACTGCTGCCTCGGACAAATTGCCCAGTGAATCGCATGAGACAGATGCACCTGATCGATCGTCCAACGACTTTAACATGTCGATAGACAGTATAACGGAAAAGAGTGGCGAAAACCTGGAACCTTTGGACGCGAAATCGACTCTGACGGATGTTGAAGTGGCGGAGAAGGCCGCCGGTTCGGATGGACCGAAGAAAACGTGCAATCTGGGCACGCGTTTTGACAGTCTTCTGCGCGTAGCGACTGCCAAGGAGCAACAGCGGGTCAACGACGTGATGAGCGGCGCGGAGAGCAACAAGATCATTCTGAATTTGGACACGAACACTACGACGACGATGAAGTCCGACGTGAACATTGTCGATGCTGCGACATCAGCTTCGGCATCGTCGTCATCGTCGTCGTCGTCGTCGGCGTCGTCACCATTAACGGCCAATGTGGTTAACGACGAGGCTAAATTGACGAAGACTTCGAAGGAGGAAATGTCGAAATCATTGCCGTACACCAGCGACAACACGTTCGTGCCGATCAGCAACAGGACGGACGGGCTACACTCGGACTTGTCCAATGACATATTCGCCTCCCTGCACGTTCCCTCCAGTTCGCATAATCCAGAGTCGATATCACCCACGGCAGCGTTCCTGATGGCTTTCCCGCTGGTGTCGTCCTTGAACGGCAAGACCGAGGTCCTGGACGAGGAGATGAAGGATGACTTCAAATATAATACCGGTACGCCGCCGATGCTGCTGCAGATCGGCACCATGGAGCCGAACAGCTTCAAGATCAAGACTTCCTCGCCGTCGCACGCGATCGCGGAGAAGCGGCTGAAAACGGCGCAAACCTGCGAAGAGAAGCAAATCACGTCCGCGAACGTAAACGCGAACGCCGATGTAATCGTTCCTGTAGAGTGCACGACGACAAAGTCGTTGCCGAAGGTGGTGAACGAAGAAACGCTGCGGGAGCCGTACAAGATAGTTCAGACCGTCCTGACGCCCAGCTTGGAGAAATCCGTGATGACCACCAGCGCATTTCCATCTCATACCTCTGTCAATTTCTCCGCCGTGGACTCCTCGTGTATCGTAGGTAATTCCCCGAGTTTAGCGACGAATCAAAGTCGTCCGAGTCAATTGAAGACGAGCGCGCTGAACAGTGTTAACGTAATTTCGTCTCAAGCGCCAGTGAACATCTCTGCGTCCACCAACAAGAGCGATATCGCGGATTGTACGTCGTCTCAAGTGACAACGAGCCGCAATCCCGACATAGCGTACTCCGGAGCGCAGGACTTCTTGCCTAGTTACTCGATGGTGAGCAATGCTGCAATGCAACATACGTCCAACTCGTCTATGTTTAAAAACGCCATCGCGACGACGGAAGAGTCGAATCTCACGGTCAGTCCGCGCGTCGACAACGTCGACGCCTCTCAGAATCTATTGAACCCTCGTACACTCGACAACGCGACAGTTACCACGAATTCCTCGTCCACGGCTTTGCGGTCCTTGCAAACGGACTATCCGACTCAAACGAAGGACAAAGGCTCGCAGAGTACATCACACGTAATCTATTCGTCGCACAACAAGGACACGCTTATCGATTCTGCCGCTATCGTTCCGGATCATCGTGTCGATTATGCCAATCAGATGGATCGAGGTCTTCCGGCGACGTCCCAGAGTATGCAAAGCTACTCTCTGCCAACCAAAGATTCCTCCCTTCCGATTCTGTCCTCTCAAGACATGCAACATATTATGTACAATCAGACCAAGGACAGTCATGTCCTCTTGGATTTGAACAGCTCCCAGCAGACGTTTACTGTTCAGAAAAAACAGGAACATATTATCGCGAGCTCTCACAACGATTACGTCGGAAATCAAGCGAAGGTGATGTCGCAGAAGGACTCCATATCATATCCAAGTGGCGACAACGAGGCCGCGAGCGCCCCATCGCGCAATCAAGATTACGTGACGAAGACTGTGAGTCATAGCTCCTCGGAAAACACTTTCCAACGAAACTATTCTAAACTAAACAAGAGCACGGACACATTGAACAGTTCGAATCAGGTGAATCAAGAAGCAAAACTGAATAATGTGCTTGGCTCGAAGACTCAAGAACAACAACACAATCACATACGCGATTCGGCTTACGTTTCCGCAAAGAAGCTGGATGTAGATCCATTCGTTCAGTCGTACCAGTATACCGTTAAGGAGGCGATGAATAATCACAGCGAGCGGACAAACGTTCTAAATACAAATACCGATAATACGCATAGCAATTACGTTTCGTATCCCAGTAAGGACGACAAGAAAACGAACGTCGCTGTTTCGACCATCGCCATGGCCAACAACAATAAGCCAGCAGCGGTGCAGCAGGGTGGCGTCGCGCGATACTCGCAGCAGACCTCCTCATTCATCGCTACGTCCAACTACGAACAGAGCACGATGACGGAGAATCACACCAAGTCCACGACCACTGTCGCTCATAATTCGTCTAATTTTAGTATCCTCTCGTGGACAACGTTCTCGCCGGTCAACGGCGGTGGCGGCGGTGGCAATAACAATCTGGTACACTACGATCAGGGGCAGTCACATCCGAACGATAACACCGAAGCAAAGACTATCTGCGAGAATTACAGCTACGTACCATTGCACAAGGACACCTCGAGTTTCTCTAATCAAGTGTTGATCGGCGACAATTACCCGAGTAGCACAACCATGTCGACCGGGATCGACAAATCGCGACAGGGGAAGATCGAGTCGCAGAAGCAATCCTTCGCCGATCCCTCGAAGACCAGAAACGATCCGTCGAAGCAGAATCGGATGCAAAATCAGCAGACTGGCAACGACTACAAGTTCCCCGACGGTGGTAAGAGCAAGAACAAGTACGGCATGGATTCGGACTACATGCAGAACGAGTACAGTGCTACCATGGATCAGCAGCAGCATTCTCAGCAACAGAAGAATCATCAAAACCTGTCATCCAAGCAGGAAAAGACGATATACACGTACGAACCGCAGATCAACTTCGATCTGGCGGAGAGTAACGTGCAGATGAAGTATTCGATCGAGGCTTACACCGGTGTGACCTTCAAGTACGCGGAAAAATCGCAGCAGCCAAGTCAGCACAAATATCAGGTTGTCCCACAAGGACAGATTTCTCTGCACGACAGCGGTAGTTACAGCAGCGATGTGAAACATAGCCAACAACAACAGCAACCGCAGCAATCGCACAGTAGCAATAACAATGGTAACAACAGTAAGTCCAAGAGTAATCAACACCAACAACACTCGATCAAGGCGCCGGTTAACTGGATGATGACACCAGAGGTCAAGCACAACGCCAACATCACCGATATTATTCTACCGCCGATCGGCAAGGAGCTGGAGTTCTGTCCAAATAATCTGTTTACGCAGACATCCACATACAATCAGGGTACTCCAAATCAGTTCTACAACAATTATGACGTGCCTGCGGCCCACAGCTTCCCAAATCTACCGGTTCTGCAAAGCGATCCGAAGAGGCCCGCGGAGACCTTCTATTCCGAGGAGCAACCGTTTCCGTGGTCTCCGACGAAAACCAGCGTGCACAACAGCGTCGAGCACGCGATCGGTCAGTCATCGGTCAAGTGTATCGATCAACACATTGTGCCGTCGAGTTTGCAGAGTCTGGTAGGCGATCTCGATCTTAGCGCCAATCTGGAGAAGCAAAACTTCCTGTTCGGTGCTGCAACCTCGTCGACGAGGATCTCCACGGAGCAGAGCAAGGACGCGTCCATAAAGGAGAAAGAGGCGAATAACGTGGCGGGACGGGATCTACACGCGATATTGAATACTCAGAACGCGCAACATCCAGCTTCCACTTTTCTATCTGTCAGTCAGCTGGTGGAGCATGAGAAGGCAGAGAAAAGCCATCAGCAGCAGAATCACCAGCAGCATCAACATCATCAGCATCACCATCCACATCAGCATCAGCATTCGCAGCAACATCAGCAGCAGCAGCAACAGCAGCAGGTTAGAAAACATCAGAGAAAGAGCAACGCGAGTCCTAGAACGACTAGTAAGCGGCAAATGGACATTCGCAAGTCTGCAACGACCAACGACAACAATAATCTGCATCAGCGGCACGAGGAACAAAAATCGTCCGGGCACGTGTTCACGGAACAGGGATACCAGCAGCCGCAGCAACAACAGCAGCAGCAGCAGAAGTATCAACAGAACAACGTTCACTGGCGAAGCAGAAACTGCAAAAGCAACTACACTGCGGAGGCGTTGATTGGCACCAGCATTCATGATACTAGCGGCCATCAAGATAAGCACGCGTCGATCAAATTCACAACCAATTATCCTCAGAATAAATTCCAAAGTGGCTTGTCCGCGGACGCTGCAGTGATGCCTATCAATTATTTCTCGAGCGCGCCACCACCGGACGACGGCACCGCGGCCGGTTACGGTCAATCGGTGGTCAATCAGAACTTCAACACGTACGCGTACTCGTCCAATTCCGCTAACTCTATCTATCCTACCAGCAATTTCATCACCAGCATCTCCAATACGCCCAATACCTACATGCCCATGCCGCTGCACGAGAACGCCGCCGATTACGTGCAGGAGGCCAACAGCTTTCTGTTGCCGAACGTGGCAGGAACGAGCAGCTCGTCGAGCGCCAGCACGTCCAGCTCCGCGAACACGATCTCCACTACGGCGGGGAACGCCAACGGGAACGGGAAGAATCACCAGCATTACGGGAAGCATCCCAACTGCGACAAACGTTCGTACTCCACTGCCGCGAAAAAGGGCAAGCGAAAGGCTCTCGAGAGCGGTCCCATGCAGAACCTGGAGTTTCCGTTGTCCGGCATTAACTCTCCGCTGGAGGACTACCATCATTCGACGACGTTCCTGGCGCCGCCGCCACCCCCGCCCCCACCACCACCGCCACCACACGCTAATCCTCTCTATCAAAATCATACGCAAACGAATGTCTACGCCAAGACTGTCAATGGTCTTCCACCGCCGCCACCGTCGGCCATGGCGAGCGCTCAGGGTGTCGCAACCGTGGGAGCGGCCGGTTTCGCCATGAACTCCAATATGGTCCGCGGAGGAATCGGCTCGAGCAATCCGATGGCCATGCCGCATCATCCCTCGGGCACCAGTCTCACCAATTTCAACTTGAGCACGATATTTCCTGAAATAAATGACAAGGTATCTGATCGCGTTCAATAAACATTATCGACGCACATTCAATTTTCGCGAATCAACGAGCAATTCGTTACCTCTCTTTTCAGGTCACCGGATACAAATCCTCGAACGGTATACCACCCGGCCTATCGCAGACGTCCAATCAGCCTGCAACTTATGCGCAACGAAGTAATTATCCGTCGAACTCTCTGTGCCACTTGCCGCAGGTGTGTTTATAAAAACGTATCTACGTAATAATCGAATCCAATTGTGTGAGCCTAGGAATAGCGTGTATATATGTTGATTGCAGGTTTCGGAAGGCACGCAATTCATTAATAGCGTTCCATCGCTTCCCGTACCTCCTGCTCCTCCTCCTCCTCGCCACCCCATCTCTTTCACACGGAGTAATCCATTATAAAAATCTATGATGAGGTTTCATAGTTTGTGATACAAATCGATCGTCGCTTGTACATATGTAAATACTAAGTATCGTTCAATTAAATTAAAAGACGTTGATACAAAAATGTACATTTATGTTGGTACGTTGATTAAATGTCGAATTATAAAGCAGTGATTCGTTAAATTATGTCGGCTCAGACTTTATTTCATTTTAAATTAAAAAGAATCGTACAATGAATTGAGTTTTGAATTAAAATCCCTTTTACATCCCCATTATTCACGTTCTGGCATTTACTCTTTTAACTATTACGTAATGCTGTCGAATTAACGAAGTTTATTTATATTGAAATAAATAGGATTCTTTATTCTGTAAACATGATCTATTTTAAGAACTTGATTAGGCACATTAATCACCATAAAAATTTAGATATTTACAGATTAGCAGAAACATGTCATTATATCACAGCATTATTATACATTTGAATACATGTCACTAGTCCGTAGATGGTATTATCAAGTCATCTCAAATCTTTGGTTGGAGGTTTGAGTGGTATTTTACCGATGATAAATTTCTCAGCCAAGAACATGTTCTTCTCATCGTCCGTTAATGCACTATCCTCGCTGTACACGCTATCATCGACGAGGACGCTGGTGGTTGTAGTGGTGTTGAACGGCGATTGTCCAAAAGGAGCAGCGGCGTTGACGTTAGACTGACTTTGCGCGACGTTTCCGAACGGTGAGCTGCCTTGTTGCGGCCGTGGTGCAAATGGATTTGCGAGTGTCGTTGTCGTGGTGAGGGTTGTGCCAGCGGCCGAGCCGAACGGAGAGGAAGTGTTGACACTGCCGAACGTCGACCCGGCGAACGGCGACGGATTTGGGACGGTTCCGTTGGCGGTCGCGAAGGTTCCCGCGTTCACAAATATCGAATTGGTAGAGGTTTCCGTGCCGAATGTGTTATTCGTACTCGCGACGGCCACGCCGAATCCCGCGCCGGCGAACGGCGCCGTGCTCGTGCTCGTAGAATCAAATTGCTGCGAGCTGGTGGTGACGAATGGGCCGCTGATCGCGGCAGACGGCGCGCCGAACGTCGGATTGTTCACTGACATGGTGTCGGCGTTCTGCGCACCAAAGACATTCGCGGCGGATACGGCCGTTCCGAAGGCGGTATTAGCACCGGGCTGTTGACTCAGATCGAAGCTCGGCGCCGTGGCGGCAACAATGGGCGTACCGAAACCCGGCGTCATGGCGGCAACAACGGACGTACCAAACGCTGGCGTCGTGGTGGCGGCGGCCGCACCGAAAACCGGCGTCGCGGCGGCCGTGGATCCGAAGATGCCGTTCGTCGCGGGAGCGCCGAACGTTTGGCCGCCGCCGCCGCCGCCACTGCCGCCGCCGAATATCGAGTTGCCGGTGGAATTGCTGGCGTAGCTCGGAGTCACTCCCGCGAAAACTGGCGCTCCGCCGAACGCGGGTATCTGCGTTTTCGGCTGAGTGAACATCCCGCTGTTGAAGGAGCCGGATGACGACGTGGTCGCGGGGCCGAAGACCGAGTTTGTCTGTAAACCGGTGGACGGGCCGCCGAACAAGTTGGAGGCGGTGGTTGGTGTCGCTCCGCCAAATAACGAGGTGTTCGCCTGCGAAGTTATCGGATTGCTGAATAGCGAGGTGGTGGACGCGCTGTTAAGCTGACCCGTCCCTCCAAATACATTGTTGCTTTGGCCGAACACACTTTGAGACGATCCGCCGAAGATTGGATTATTCTGCGGTGCTCCAAACGCGTTCGATGCGCTGTTCTGTATGCCGTTGAACGACGACGTCGGCGTGCTCGTTGTTCCAAAGATGCCAGCACCGCTCGTCGCGGTGCCAAATCCACCGAGATTGTTCCCGAAGGTCGCCGCGCTGCCGAATACGGACGCTGTATTATTACTCGACTTTCCGAATATCGACGACGTATTGGCCGAGGAGGTGAATGCACCGCCGCCGAATGGATTATTTTGCACACCGAATGTTGTATTTCCGAACACATTATTAGTCGACGTGTTATTGACCAAGCCCATCTGTGGAGCTGCAAAGGATAAAGTAGATGATTTCCCGGTGGTACTATTGCTTGCATTCAACCCACCTTTTTGACTGCTTCCCAAAATTCTTTTCTGAAAAGTACAATCACATCGCGTTAAATATATACGAGAGACGTGTTCGTCGATTAATCAAGACACGAAGAAAATCATGTTATTCGACATACCAAATAAGTCATTGTCTCTCGCGTAGGGTTCTTCAGAATCTCTCTTTTCGTCTTCATGTCTTGGCACAATTGTTGAAAGCGTAATTTCTGAAAACATTATATCTGAAGCTGACTCAACTTGATACATCTTACAAATGTACTCTCACGGTTTAGCTGAGCAACAGAAATGCCGAAAAGCATTTTTCTCTTTAGGAGAAAACTTTTCTCCTTTAGATATCTTTTACAGGGCTGCGTTCAGGAATTCGCGGTACATCATTTTATCCTTGTTATGCAAATGTCTAGATGCACCTAGGCGAAGTTTCTGAACGCAGCCCAGTTGTGTTGCTCAAATAAATCCTGTAGACATAAATCCACTAACTGCCTGATCGACCATTCCATTCTTTTGCGCGTGATACATCTCCCATCGGACTTCCTCCGGCGACAAATCCTCCATACCTGGGATACAGGGACGCTCTTTAAGCGGCGCAAAGCACGACAGCAACCACTGTCCGCCTCTCTCGGCAAGAAGCACTTCCTTGGCGACCATAATACTGTGCGCAGAAACGAAACAAAGAAAATAAATGAAAATATTAGCTTAAATACATAAATTTATATATACAAACTCACAATATACACGCGTAAACTTTACGCAATACTTACACGATATCATCCTCGGTCTTGGTATTGCCTGCTTGGAAAAGTAAACAAACATTACTCGACGTCAGTTGAATGGATTAGGTTAGGAACGATGAAGACATACATTAATGCCGAAATGATGACTTACCGAAATGATTTATATGCTCGAATTGGCAGTATTGCCCGTAACGGCAATTGCCTTGTCGATAATATTTGCAGATAACCATTGTGTATACACCGTGTAAACACAAAATCGAGAGGAGATACCTGCTCCCGCCTTCCTTCGTTAAAACTGGTCGAAACGCACAAAGAGCGGTTCAAACGGCACCGCTTTTGCATCTGCTTGCTCCCCTTTTTTATAAAAGAGACGAGCTTTAGCTTCGTTTAAAAAAAAATCATTTTTCTATCCATAGTTTTCGATATGTATTGTTTTGCGTAATTTATACATTTACGCATCGTGTTTTTCTTTATTTACGTGAACGTGCGTGAACGAAGAAACACTTGTACTGTAGCGTCTGTAGCGCTATTCACTTGCTTTCGGGGAACTATATATCAAGGAATCAAGGTGCACAGTTCGACTTCGTCGATAAAGCAGTTTAATAGTCGATTATAATTCTGTTTGATATATTAAATTACAGATATCATTTTGCCGGCATATCTCTTGCTGATTGTATAAAGAACGAAATTATGAATCAAGTTTGAAAAAGCTATTTTCTCTCTTTTTAAATAATAGACTTGCAATTTTCGTAATTGTAATAAAAAAATTAAGATTACCAAAATATTTATTTCTTTGTAATATTACACAATACAGGAATATTTTATTATTTAAAAATGTACGAATGAGAGTGGCCAATACGAATAAATGTGTGTGGCCAAGCGTACATCCTTTAGAAATTAGCCCTTGGTTTTTGTCTTTTTATTTTCACTCTTAACGTCCAAGGAAGCGCAATTTTGGCAAGAACACGAACGCGGCATTGCTAACTGTTTCTTCAATCTTCTGCCGTCCTCGCATATCAAATTGACAATGAGACCCATGTATTCCTTCACTTGACAGCACTGACAATCATTCACTTGAATCCAGTTTTCTGCGTAAGAAAGAAATGAGCAAGATAAAAATCGTATTTACCATTGTAATATAATACAATGGAAAAATTTAATTTGATTTTGCATTATTACCATTGTCAAAGTATGTTGAAGATTTGCACGATCCACTGCACTGTTTAATACCCTCAATAGCATCCACATTTTTACATATCCCGTGTGACGGGTGATTTACAACCAGCATGCCCACAGTACTCTTTGCATCCACGAAAATTGCTTCGCATACTTCTAAGGAATAGTTATTGAAGAATATTAATATAAGAACATATAATATTCTTAAAATGAAAAAATAAAAATTGCTTATTCTTATTTTTCTATTTACCCTTCATCTGATCTTTTATATTAATGCTTATGTTGCATCGTTTGCAGCATTGATCATGATAAATCGATTTATCAGGGCAATCTGTTATATCTGGGCAAGCAGCCGGACTCACAGAAAGAGACAGCTAAAATTATTGCGCAATTATATTGTACAATGTATTATTTGTATGTATTATATTACATTATAATGTAAAATAATTATAAAAATGATTGTATGTAATTGATTACATATAATTTGACTTTCTGAAAAAAGTGCCAATTTTGTACCTAATCCAGAGGCATTTACTTTTTTTGGAACATATAACTTGCCTGGCCATTAGTTTCCATGCACATATAAGTGGTACAATTATCATCGGACGACCATGTCATGCCAGGTGCGTACAGAGTATCCTCAAGCACGCAAAACGCTTGCTTACATTCCCCGCAACATTTGCCATCTTCTGGCTCCTGATACGACCATCCCTTGAAGATTCGATCAACGCGATATTAATGAAACATCTTAAATATACAAATATATTTAAATGTGAGCACGTGTGATAAAATATTCTTACTTGAGCACACTGTTTCGAACACACTTCGACCTCTTTGCGTTTCGTTATATTCGGACCGTCCACGCATGTCTCGATGACGCAGCTGTCTGTGAGGGATTTCCAGGTTTCTCCAGGTTTATACAATTTTCCGCCACTACGACAAACTGTTTTAACAATTTCCGGACAGCATCTTCCTGGAATTTTGCGTGCTTCTATCTCGAACTCGGATTTCACTTGCGGATCGATTTCTGGGCAAGTTTCAGTATTCGCTTGTAGGTATACCTAAAAATAAATATCAGTATCAATTTAAATTTGATTTATTATTCCATTAATTTGTTAAATATTTCGAATTGTATCAATAATCTTACATTTCCATTTGTGGATTCGCAAAGATATGTTATGCAGTGATCATCCGAGTACCATTGTTCTCCTACATTTTTAAGCGTGCCTTCTACAATGCACGCAATTTGGACACACGTACCGCAGCAATTAACACTGCTGTCATTAGGCGCTTGATACTTGTATCCATAGTCACACGTGGTATCACATTCTTGAACTTTATTTAATATCTGAATACCGCCCGAATCCTTGCCACATTGCATCGTGAGACAAGCATCTTCAGTATTGGGCTTCCAACTCTCACCGATCTGATGATAGCGATATTATAAATTATAATTTAATAAATATAATAATATTAAATATAATAATAATAAGTGATGGTGGGTCAAAAAAAATTTTTTATCTTAAAAATCACATGATATAAAAAATGGTGGTGGTGGGTGGTGATGAGTGGTAGTGATGGGTGATGGTGATGGATGGTGGTGGTGCGTGATGATGGTGGGTGGTGGTGGTGGGTGGTGGTGGTGGGTGGTGGTGGGTGGTGGTGGTGGGTGGTGGTGGTGGGTGGTGATGGGTGGTGTGTCAAAAAAAAATTTTTTATTTAAAAAATCACATGATATAAAAATTTAAAAAAATTTAGTTTTAAAATTCAATTGATATAAAAATTTTTACTAAAGAAAATTTTTAATTTATAAAA